TTTGTACTTATCCTGCATTAGAGAATTTCTACATGGTTATGAACAAAAATGACTAGTTTCTCTTTTGGTCATGTTTTTCCAACTTTCATCTAAAATTTCATCAAAATGTCACATTTCGAAAAAGAAAAAATAGCAAATAACATTGTGAAAAGAAGAATCACAAATATTTAAAAAAAAAAAAAACATTAACTGACCAGCATGTGACTTTTTTGGTAGAAATTTGGATGAAATGTGGATATACATGACGACTGGGCAAATTACCATTTATAATAATATTTCGAGGGGTAAACATGTATTTATATTCTCGTACATATGTTCTCTCTCTACAAATAGTTTAACTTCTTATAAAGTTAGTGTCTACCATTATTCATGATGAGGGTTTTAGTTAAGCCAGACAAATTAGTTATTGGTTTCGCTATTTATGTGTCACAAAATCTTTCACGTACAATGACTTGCAAGTGAACAATGCTAAACCGTAATGCTAATAACTAATTGTTTTATTACAACTAAGTTTTCATATTATGTACCTGAATGCTCACACGGACTCAACAATTTACCAACTGGCATTTTGTCACAGTTGCAAGTTACAGCGTACAAGTCATGATCACTTACTGATTTTTAAGGAAAAAAATGAAAAAAATAAAAAAAAATAATCCACGCACAACGTGAAAGTGGATGAAGCCTGAAGGGTTTCATTGGGGAAAATTCTTTGAGCTTAGGGTTTAGGTCTAAGGAGGGAAAATGAAACTTGAAGTGGATAAAGGGTTTCATTTTTCTCTTTAATTATTTTCTTACGAGCTAGACAACTGTTTCCGAAGTCCAAATTTTTCGTCCTGAAACTCATTTTTCTAGAACCAAACGCCTCCTAACTTGCTATGCATGTATGCATGAATTTGACCAAAGCGACCATGCAAGTGTATATGAATACTTGAATATATATAGACGCAACATTGATTTTACATTCCTTTTGATGAATTTTCAGAAGACAAGGTTTGTTACGCGGAGTACTTAGGGCTGGTTTGGTATTGCTGTGCTTTGAAAAAAAGCTGCTGTGAGAATAAGCGGCTGTGCTGTGAGAATAAGCGGCTGTGAAATAAAGCCAGTAGAGTGTTTGGTAAACTTTTTTGTGAAAGTGCTTTTGGAAAAAAAAAGCAGGATGATAGTGTGTCTTTTCATTAAAGGAGCACTATAGCTCCGTGTGCTTTGAAAAAACTGGCTTTTTTTCAAAGCAGCAAATAGCAGCTTCAGCTTTTCCTTTGATTTTCAGCTTATTCTCACAGCAGCTTCCAAAATAAGCCCTTTTTTTTCAGTTTACCAAACACAAAAATGACTCTTAACTTTTTTTCACAGTGGTTTTTTTTTTAAATCACATCAATCCCAAACGGGGCCTTATTTTCTTCATGGTTTTGAGCTTTCCAGTCAAAGAAGTTAATCTACTTGCCGACACTTCTAACTCAAAGTCTACTTCTTTTCTTCACGGTTTTGAACTTTCCAGTCAAAGAAGATCAATCTAATCTAGTTGCCGACACATAAAAGTTAATAAACCAGAAAGATGGTTAATATTGGGAGGAAAGGAAGCAAAACACCTAAATAATTTTCACCAACGAAAAGGAAAAAATAACGGACAAGGATTGTCTACCCTCCTATTTTTGGTGCCCTTCCATGCCCTTCTGTTTGTATGGTCACGGTTAAGCCACGTCAACATTTTATATTACTATTTACTTTTATCTTATTATCTCTACAAAAAAATAATATAAAATATTAACGTGGCTTAACCGTGACCACACAAAACAGGAGGGCATGGAAGGGCACCAAAAATAGGAGGGTAGACAATCCATGTCCAAAAATAACCTCACCAAGTGCCATGAAAAGTACTTGATTAAGTGTACCGGGGGTCACCTGCCAGCTGCTATGGGCCCACGTGCTCCTCATCTGCTGCCCAGACACTGTCCTGTTACATCCTGATTCCACCAGTGCTTTTCCTCATGTTACATCACAGTCAGTCAATGCTACTAATCACCATCCTATGGTTACTCGTGTGGAATTCAGTGCCCCAAACAACAGTCCGATAATACTGTTTCTGGTACTGTTAGCGACGCGCTTTTCTTGGCTCTCACTGCCATGGTTTCCTCATCTTCTACTGAACCTGCGTAGCGGCGTCTACGCTCGAGCTGTTCGTTCTTCGGAGCGGCGGGCCGCGATGACTGATGAATTGACACTTATTTGATCTTTCGTGCCTCTTCATCCCTCTCAAAAATCCTGTTGGTTGCAAGTGAGTTCTCAAAATTAAGTGGCATGTCGATGATACTATTGAGCGCTACAAGGCCCGCTTAGAGCAACTCCGCTCCTAAAAAAATGCATCAGCATCCCGCCTATTTAATCCACTCAATGAACAATGATAGATTCTAATAAACAATAATAAATCAAATGCATCTCCACTCCTAACAAAAAGTAGTCTAGTCAATTTTATTAAAATATTATTATTTTTATTATAAAATAATAATTTTATTTTTAATTTATGACTTTATAAAAAAATATAATAATAATATTATTATTAAAATATTTTTATTTTCTCATCTTCCACATCTCCTCCTCGTCCCCACCGCTGTCCACCCCTGCACTTGCCTTCCATTCCCACCGCCGCCTCCAAACCTCCTCCTCCCATCCTCCGACGCCGTTGCCATCCTGTCCTTTAAATCCTCCATAACAACTCCCTCTCTGGTGCCAAAAAAAAAAAAGTGGCTGACGTTAGCCTACGTCATGTAGGTCGTCCTATGGGTCTATCGATTCTCTGCCCTCCTGTTTGTGTGGTCACGGTTAAGTCACGTCAACATTTTATATTACTATTTCTTTTTGTCTTATTATCTCTATAAAAAAAATAATATAAAATATTGATATGACTTAACCATGATCACACAAAATAAGAGGACATAGGAAATGGGAGGGCAGAGAATCTGCCTCCGTTTGGACGATGCGGCTAAGATTTGTTCAGTGATATTTTTTGGTAAGCACGCCTCAAGTCTTCGGATCAGTAAGATAAAAACTTCATTCACTATAGTTGGATGGCAAATCATTCAATCAATATAACTTATAAAAAAATGATGAAAAGAAAGAAAAGGCTCATTGTTATAAAAATGTTGATCCATATTAAGGACACAAGTTAAACAAAGTGGTTACTAATCCAAGGGTCATTACTTTACTTAGGCACCAACATTCAAGGTAGGGCTGGAAAAAAATCTCAAAAATCCCAAACCGAACCAAAAAATTCCTGAAACCAAACCGAAAAAATCCCAAACCGAAATTCCCGAAAATTTCGGTACCCAATACCGAACCGATCCCGAAATTTCGGTACGAGAATTGGTCTCAAGTTTTTGGGATTTCGGTATTCCCAAACCGAACAAAAAAATATATATATATATATATATATTGTTTAATTTTTAAATATATATTTAGAATTTTAATAGCCGTCGGATTCTGTTGAGATTTAATCTCAACCATTGAATATAAATTTGATTATTGATTATTTGATACCTTGCCCCTCCTTAATAATTCTTCATCTGGATGGTTCACATATACATTGAGATGAAAGATTCATGTGCTATATAGAAATTTAAGCTGGCGTATTATTTTTTACGCTACAATTGTACTTACTGGTTCTTTTTCCTTCCATCCATTATTAAATCCATTTTTATTTACTGGTGTACACGGACTCAAATTTGTGCACAAATTAGTACAAACATGCCTTGCCATTTGATTGGCATATTAGTAGAAACAAATTGGCAAATTGAGCCCAAAAGCATAATATGTCAAATTTTAGTCCAAAAGCCCAAAAGCCCAAAACCATTTCAGGATTCCCGATTTGTCCCAAAATCCCGAAACAATTTCAGGATTCCCAAAAATTGGGATTCCCGAAAATTTGGTTTGGGATCGGTATTGAAATTGGGATTCCCGAAAATTTCGGTTTGGGAATCGGGACAAGGGTTTCGGTATGGGATCCCATACCGAACCACCCCTAATTCAAGGGGTTCATTATTTTGAAAAGGCTTATTTTTAGTTACACTTTTTGGAAATCGATTTTAATCTCGTTTTACTCTCTATAACTCAAAAGTCACCAATTTACTTCCTGAAACTCATAATTCGTTCCACTTTACCCCCTGAAACTCTATTTTGATCCCATTGTGCCTTCTGAAACTTGAAAGTCATCTCTATAAAACTCAAAATTCATTCCACGTTGCCTTAAATGTGTTAATTTCTCATGTAAGTTTGATTTGGGTGCGGCAGACTAATCAATTTATTTTTAATTTTTTTTATCTCTTCAATTTCTTTTAAACTTAATATTCTCTGATTGTTTATAATGGAGATTTATAATCAAATCTATGGTACATGTAGTATAGTCGTGTTGGGTGTTTGGTCCCGCATATGCTTTAAGAGGCGACTTATAAGTTTTAGACAAAAAAGAGAGTCCACAAGTCCAAGTAAAACAAATTTTGAGTTTCAGAAAGTAAAGTAGTGCTTTTTGAGTTATAGAGGGCAAACTGAGATCAAAATAAAGTTCCGGGAACATAGCTAAAAATAAGCCTTTTAAAAAAGGACAAAGACTTTAAAAAAAGGACAAAGAAAAGGACTTGGATTGTCTGCCCTCTTAGTTATGGTGCCCTTCCATGCCCTCCTATTTTGTGCGGTCACGGTTAAGCCACGTCAATATTTTATATTAATTTTTTAATAAGATAATAAGACAAAAAATAATAAAAATATAAAATATTAACGTGGCTTAACCGTGACCGCACAAAATAGGAGGGCATTTAAGGGCACCACAACTAGGAGGGCAGACAATCCAAGTCCCAAAGAAAACACCTTGGACAATAATGTGAAGAACTGGGGGACTAGCCTATATAGACTTGCAAGTCAATGACGTGAATTGTATTTGTACGTTCTAACTTCTAATCAAAGGGCCGGGAGGAGGGACCCTTTATTAGTTAACAAGATTGAAATTGATCAGAGGAATAATCTGGATGATATTTGCTATAAAGTCAGGTGGGTTGGGTTGGGGGCTCATATCAAATGTAATGCTAGCTAGAAGAAAATGGCAAGATTTCTCATCATGCTCACATTGATCTTTTGCTTCTCCTCATCATCAACAGTCAAAATTGAAGCACAGTCTCAATCTGATCCTAAAGAAGGTAGCAAGTCACTCTTATTCTTCTTTTCTTTTTACTTCTTAATTTATTCAAGGGCATTTTATGTTCAAGTCATTCTATTGACCATGTGAAATCCCACGTTGGGGAATTAAGAAGTTTGCACGTGTTTATGAAGAGTTGAGTTACTTTCTCATATTGCCAGTTGATTTTCATGAGCGGGCTTAATCTTTAGTTGAGATCTTGAATTATTTTATTTTATATTTTATATGTAGTGGTGAGTGTGTTTTTCTTTCTACTTTACTATTTTGTTTATTGTATTAGAAAAACTGAAAATACTGTATCATTGATGAAGCTCAGTGCAATAGTTTTCCTCTTTGATTAGAGAATTTGTAGAAGATTTTAGTCTTTCTCAAACTTGTTTGGGTAAAGACTACACCAGTGTAAGAGCAATCCTAGGTCAATTCTCTTGTTTCTATAAGTTGTTAGATTAAATAAATCAAAATAGAATTAAGGACAGACAATAAGAGCTTGAAAACCATTTCCCTTTTTGTTATTGTTCAAGTTGGTAATTTTATTAATTGTTCAAGTTGGCATTTTTTTTAATATTTAAGTTGGTAATACCAAAAATCTATCATTTGGAGCTTCACTTTTTCTTGAATTATAATTATAATTTTTTTTATATGGAAGTCTGGATATTTTATGTTGTTGAATAGAAGAGATCATAATGCTCAGTGCCAAAGTTGGTCTCATTGATTTCGAATTTTCCTATTGCTCAACTACATACTATTTAAGAAAAATGATCTTTTCTTAAACGTGTACGTTTTCTATAAAAAAAATTTATATGATTTCCCTTTGTGTACTTTTCCACAAAAAAAAAAATTATATGAATTCCTTTGATTCTTGAATAAACTCTGTTTCATTTTAGTAAAATAGAATTTCTAATGGATTTTATTTGTGGGCGCAGTGGAAACACTAAAGGAAATAGCTAAACAAATTGGGAAAAAAGACTGGAACTTCAGCATAGACCCATGCATCAATGACACAAATTGGGCTACCCCAAAATCTGCTAACTTGCCTCACTACAACAACACTGTCATCTGCAACTGCTCCACGCCTGATGGTTTTTGCCATGTTGTCAGCATGTATGCCAACTTTTCTTTTGAACAGAAGCCATAGTGCTAATTCATTGAAAAAAATATTACAACATAATTACAAGGGTGCTATAACCAAGTATAACTTTATCAGTGACCCAAATCTTTAATTTGGAGAGAATAAGCGCACAAGCACGCTTAATTAATCCCTTATATGGCAACACAGTGAACAAATAAACACACAAAAACTATCGGTATAGATTTTCCACAATAGATCAGTGATGGCAGATCCAAAAAGGAACACAAAAGCTATCACTAAGAAGTGAGGCCACACAAACTGGTAGGCGGCACAAATATACACAAAACATAACTAAACCGAGAAGGAAATCACTGTCGGCTTGTCTCCACAACCACATCTGCAATGCCACCGGATCAGAACCAGCGCGCCACTATAATGCAGGCATAAAATTTGATTTTGTTTTGTGATAACTGTTGAATTAATGGCCACAAGTGTCCAAAAAAAAACTTTCGGCTAATAAACAAACCAAAATAAAAAAAGGTGAAAGACATCATGATGAGGAGGCATCATGATTATGTTTGTTGTAAAGAAAAGTTGATGGTCATGATGATGTTTTTGAATTTTTTATTGGGTGATGATGATGGATGAATGTTAGTATAAGTGAGAAAGAGAGAGGAATGATAGAGCACCATTTTCTGTTTTGTAGTCCATCTTTGAGAGAGCAAAGAGAGCTGCAGAGAGCAGAAAACTGAGAGCAGAAAGAGAAGAAAGAAAGGTGATTTCTTTCTTTGTTGGTACTCACTCAATCAAAGTTGTATTTGTGTATTAGCTTTGAGCTTTGTATAGAGAGGAAATTATTCACTATATTTCCCTCTCTATTTGTTTCTTTGGTGAGTGAGAGTTATTGGGTGTATTGGGTTATTTGGGTTGTGAGATTGCCAACACTTTGTAAACTCCCATTTGGTTGATAGTGGATTATTGGGTGAGCTCATACTGCTCCGATGACGTACTCCAGTTACACTGACTGTTGAGGAACCTCGTTAAAATCTTGGTGTTCTTTTATATTTTGTTCTTGCATTTTCATTTGAGATATTATCTGTGGGTTAGATTGAGTTGGTTCCAACGGGTTTGGTGCTGTCCTAGCACAACAATTGGTATCAGAGCACTGGTTGCTCTTGGGTACTGTCTAGTTGCCAAAGATGTTAGATGGGCAAGATGAAAATCCTTTTGGAAGCAGCTCCGGGTTTGCAAGAACTACGGTGCAAAATGCAAAGTTCGAAGTGGAAAAGTTTGATGGCACAAACAACTTCGGGATGTGGCAATGTGAGGTCAAAGATGTGTTGGCTCAACAAGATCTACTTGCCGCTTTGGGAGAGAAGCCGGAAGCCATGTCGAAGTCAGAATGGGAGAAATTAAATTTGTGGGCTTGCTCTTCAATTCGGTTGTGCCTTGCAAAAACTCAGAAGTATTTTGTGATGCGGGAGACGGTAGCAAGTGTGTTGTGGCAAAAATTGGAAGACAAGTATATGACGAAGAGTGCAGAGAACCAGCTACACTTGAAGAAAAAACTCTACCGTTTCCAATACAAAGAAGGTACAAAAATGATTAGACACCTTGATGCTTTTAATAAGTTGATTGCCGACTTGTTAAATTTAGATGAGGATATTAAGGATGAAGATAAAGCCTTAATATTGTTGAATTCATTGCCGGACTCTTATGAGCATTTTGTTACCACTATTATGCATGGTAAAGAAACTGTGAAATTTGAAGATGTGTCAAATGCCTTGATGAATTATGAAATGAGGCATAGAGATAAAAATCATGATAGTACCTCTGAAGCTTTATTTGTTAGAGGTAGATCATCGGAGAGGAGGTCATCTTCTAGCAGGAAAAAATCACAGTCTCGACCTAGAGGAAACTCTAAAGGTAGAAAACCTTTGGAAAGGGATGAATGTGCCTTTTGTCGTAATAAGGGCCATTGGAAGAAAGATTGTCCCAAATTGAAGACCAAAGGAAAAGAAAGTTCTGAAGCTAATGTTGCTGAGGTTGAAACAGATTTTTCTGATTTTGCTTTAACCACTTCCTCATCATTTGATTGTGCTACTAAGTGGGTGTTGGATACGGGTTGTACTCATCATATGACTCCTCACAAGGATTGGTTTTCAAGCTTGAAAGAGTTTGATGGCGGTGTTGTGTTCATGGGATGACAATCCTTGCACAACAAAAGGGATTGGTACAGTTCGTTTGAAGTTGCATGATGGCATGGTTAAAGAGTTGACAGGTGTTCGGTATGTACCGAATTTGAAGAAAAATCTTATTTCTTTGGGAACTTTGGAAGCCAAGGGCTTCAGATTTCATTCAGATGGGCAGACATTGAAGGTGACTTATGGTGCACTTGTTGTGATGAAAGCTCCTCGATGTGGCCATTTGTATTTATTGCAAGGAAGCACTGTGACAGGTGAAGCATCTGTAGTCTCAGAAAATATGGGCACATCCGATTCTGATACTACTAGATTGTGGCATATGAGATTAGGCCATGCCGGTGAGAAAGCTCTACAAGGGCTTGTGAAACAAGGTCTTCTTAAAGGTGCCACGACTTGTAAGCTTGATTTCTGTGAGCATTGTGTCTTGGGGAAGCAAACTAGAGTGAAGTTTGGTACTGCTGTACATCAGACGAAGGGCATTCTTGATTACGTGCATTCGGATGTTTGGGGTCCTACAAAGACTCCCTCTTTGAGTGGTAGACATTGGTTCGTGACCTTTGTTGATGATTATTCAAGAAGGTCTTGGGTTTACACTATGAAGCACAAGAGTGAGGTATTAAGTATTTTCTTGAGTTGGAAGAAAATGGTTGAGAACCAGACTGGGAGAAAGATTAAGATTTTGAGATCGGATAATGGTGGTGAATACACATCCGATCCTTTCTTTAAAGTTTGCAAAGAAGAAGGAATTGTGAGACATTTCAGTGTTCGGGGAACTCCACAACAAAATGGAGTTGCAGAAAGATTGAATCGAACCTTGCTTGAGAAGGTTAGATGTATGTTGTCTCAGTCGGGTTTAAGCAAGTCATTTTGGGCAGAGGCAGTTAATTATGCATGTCACATCATCAACCGATTACCCTCAGCTGCTGTTCAGGGTAAGACACCAATGGAGGTATGGACTGGAAAACCTTCTTCTGATTATGACTATATCCGTATTTTTGGTTCACCTGCTTATTTTCATGTGACTGAAAATAAACTTGATCCTAGAGCCAAAAAGGCTATCTTTCTTGGTTTTAGTAGTGGTGTCAAAGGTTACAGGTTGTGGTGCCCAGAGATGAAAAAACTTGTAATCAGCAGAGATGTGACATTTGATGAAGAAAGTATGTTCAAAGACTCTGAGAAAAATGTGAAAGATGTCCAACAGGTGGAGCTTGGGAAAGTTGCCTCTGGTACTTCAAATCCTATTTCCGCTGATGTCGAAGCCACTACAAGTGAAGAAGTTGGAGACCATGAGGATGTTGAAGAAGTTGAACTTGAAGATTCTATTCAAGTTGAAGAGGAAGTTTTACCTCAAGAGTCTATTGCCAAGAACAGAGGAAAGAGACAAATTACCAAGCCAGCTCGGTATAGTGACTATGTTTCTTTTGCTCTTCCTATTATCACTGATGAGATTCCATCCAATTTTGAGGAAGCTATTGAGAGTGAGGAGAAGAAAAGGTGGTGCAATGCCATGGGTGATGAGATGAATTCTCTCTTGAAGAATAAGACTTGGGAGTTAGCTAAATTGCCTAAGGGCAAGAAAGCTATCGGTTGCAAATGGGTGTATGCCAAGAAGGAAGATGCTGATGAGAAAAGCAATGTGAGATTTAAAGCTAGATTAGTTGCTAAAGGGTATGCACAAAAGGAGGGCATTGACTACAATGAAATATTTTCTCCAGTTGTGAAGCACTCCTCAATTCGTATTATGTTAGCTCTTGTTGCACAATATGATCTTGAGCTTGTGCAACTTGATGTGAAGACGGCTTTCCTACATGGTGATTTGAATGAAGAGATTTATATGTGTCAACCGGATGGGTATATAGTGAATGAGAAGGAAAATTTGTTTTGCAAATTGAAGAAATCACTTTATGGCTTGAAGCAATCTTCAAGGCAATGGTATTTGAGGTTTGATAAATTTATGAGAGGCCAAAATTATTCTAGAAGTCAATATGATCATTGTGTGTACTTACTTCAAGAAGTTGCAAGATGGGTCTTTCATTTATTTTGTTGATATATGTTGATGATATGTTGATTGCCTCAAAGAATGTTGAAGAGATTGAAAAATTGAAGAAGCAAATGAAGAATGAGATGAGTTTGAGATGAAGGATCTTGGTGAAGCGAAGAAGATCCTTGGCATGGAGATCACTAGAGATAGAGAGAAAGGGTTTGGTCAGTTTGAATCAAAGACAATACCTTGAGAAATTGATTCGGAAGTTTGGAGTTCATGATTCAACCAAACCGGTTAGTACCCCTTTGGCTCCTCATTTTAAATTGAGTTCTCTACAGTGTCCTAAAAATGATAAAGAGAAGCTGCAAATGAAAAATATACCATATGCAAATTTGGTTGGTAGTTTGATGTATGCAATGGTATGCTCTAGACCGGATATTGCTCATGCAGTTGGCATGGTGAGTCGATATATGCATAATCCAGGTAAAGAGCATTGGCAAGCAGCTAAGTGGATATTGAGGTATCTCCATGGTACTCGAGATGTTGGTTTATGCTTTGAGAGAGATGACTCTGGTATTGGTCATTTTGCAGTTGGTTATGTTGATTCAGATTATGCAGGTGATCTGGATGGAAGGAAATCTACTACAGGCTATGTGTTTACTATGGCTAAAGGGCCAGTTTGTTGGAGGTCCATTTTGCAGTCGTCTGTTGCCTTGTCTACTACAGAGGCTGAATATATGGCAGTTGCTGAAGCTATAAAGGAGGCCATTTGGATACATGGGCTTATTAGAGATTTGGGGGTTGATCAGAAGCAGGTGGAGGTACATTGTGATAGTCAGAGTGCCATTTATTTGGCTAAGTATCAGGTTCATCATGCGAGGACCAAGCACATAGATGTGCGTTATCACTTTGTTCGTGAAATTGTTGGAAGGGGAAATCATTCTCCAGAAGATTCCAACTAAAGACAACCCCGCTGATATGTTGACTAAGGTTGTTGGTGTAGCCAAGTTTGTTCACTGTTTGAACTTGGCTCACATTATGCCTATATAAAGAAGGCGTTGAGCAGTAGGAGTTTTGGAGCATTTGGCTCGGCATGAGTTGTTCTCTTGCTAGTGTTCGGGAGTGATGTTGTGTGCTAATTGTGTTGGTTGGCTTATCATGGCGTTTTTCGGAACTTGGCCAAGGTGGAGATTGTTGAATTAATGGCCACAAGTGTCCAAAAAAAACTTTCGGCTAATAAACAAACCAAAATAAAAAAAGGTGAAAGACATCATAATGAGGAGGCATCATGATTATGTTTGTTGAAAAGAAAAGTTGATGGTCATGATGATGTTTTTGAATTTTTTATTATGTGATGATGATGGATGAATGTTAGTATACGGAAGTGAGAAAGAGAGAGGAATGATAGAGCACCATTTTCTGTTTTGTAGTCCATCTTTGAGAGAGCAAAGAGAGCTGCAGAGAGCAGAAAACTGAGAGCAGAAAGAGAAGAAAGAAAGGTGATTTCTTTCTTTGTTGGTACTCACTCAATCAAAGTTGTATTTGTGTATTAGCTTTGAGCTTTGTATAGAGAGGAAATTATTCACTATATTTCCCTCTCTATTTGTTTCTTTGGTGAGTGAGAGTTATTGGGTGTATTGGGTTATTTGGGTTGTGAGATTGCCAACACTTTGTAAACTCCCATTTGGTTGATAGTGGATTATTGGGTGAGCTCCTACTGCTCCGAGGACGTACTCCAGTTACACTGACTGTTGAGGAACCTCGTTAAAATCTTGGTGTTCTTTTATATTTTGTTCTTGCATTTTCATTTGAGATATTATCTGTGGGTTAGATTGAGTTGGTTCCAACGGGTTTGGTGCTGTCCTAGCACAACAATAACATTATGTACGCCTGCAGGTGTTTGTAATAACATTACGGATTCGAAGACTGAATTTTCGGTTGCTATATATAATTCCCTTCATTGTTCATTAGGATAGATATAAAATATTAGGATTCCTTTTGCTTCAGTGTTTAAAGGTTGTGAGCTCTTGACATTTTTTTGATACAGTTTTCTCATGGGGCAAGATCTTGCTGGTGTAGTTCCACCATCAATTGCAAAGTTACCCTACCTAAAGAAAGTGTAAGGAAACATTTTCAGCCTTATATTTTGAAATCTATTATCTGAAAAGGTGTTTTTACATCATTTTCTCAAATGTTGGCGTAAGATTACTAATATCTTTGCTATTGTTTACAGTGATTTCTCCCAGAACTACCTCAGCGGTACTATACCGCGTGAATGGGCTTCTACGAAGTTGGAAGTTCTGTAAGTGACTTGCCAACTTCATATATGGGTACATTAATGCAGAAGGATCAGTGACATAAAAAGAGTACATCAATTGAATTATGATTAACAAAATGAGTACATTAATGCAGGTCCATTAATGTGAACAACTTATCGGGACCGATCCCTGGCTACTTGGGATACATTACCAGCCTAAAATATATGTATGCTCTGGTTTGATCTCTCATTACGAGCTCATATTAATTGTAAAAATGAATTTTACGTCACTCTGTTTAGTGTACTGTGATGACTGATGAAGGAGAATTATGTTTTCAGGAACTTACAGAATAACATGTTGTCTGGAACTGTTCCTCATGAGCTTGGGAAATTGGTTAACTTGAACAATCTGTAAGCTTTTGTGCAATTTCTAGATAACTTGAATAAGAAATACCAGTACTGATAAATTGAAATTGGTGTCTATATATAGCATTCTGAATGAAAACTATCTGACGGGAGAGCTGCCTGGGTCTCTTACTAAGCTGACTGAGTTAACAGAACTGTACGTATTTGTACCCCTTTTCTTTCTTATTGTAAATCTGTTAGAAATCTTCGGGATTTATTGTAATTCCCTAATTGCATTTATGCAGTAGAATTAGCAGTAACAGCTTCACTGGAAAAATACCTGATTATTTTCAAAGCTGGAAGCATCTTCAGAAACTGTGAGCAAAAAACAATATTTTCCTATGACATATTCGAAATTGTTAGGGTATATAATTTCTGTTGTAACATCTATCCGTTTCGACTTCTGTTGTTCACAATTGTTAAGTGATTTTCCTTTTCCATCTTCAAAATTTTTAAGACATATATCTTTTCTAGTGTAACATCTTATTCGTTTTGAATTCCGTTGTTGACAGAGAGATCCAAGCTAGTGGCTTCCAAGGTCCAATTCCATCGAGCATTTCCGTCTTAAGTAATTTAAAAGAACTGTGAGTTCTGAATGTAATTCTAAGTTCCATTATCACTAAAGAACCTTGATCTGCCTTTAAAAAATTATCATAACTCTCTCACTGGTGATTCTTTTTCTTTTCCTTTTCTTAAAAATGATTCACGGTGTGATGTAATGCAGAAGGATCAGTGACATAAAAAGTGGTGGTTCAAAATTTCCACCCTTGAGTCGTATGACAAACATGCAACGTTTGTAAGTTGTGAAAGTACTGTATTTTCTTGTAATTTTAGAATAATCAATACTTAGTGCACTTTTGCTAATATATAGTTATGTTGCAGAATGCTGAGGAGGTGTAACTTATATGGACCTATCCCCGCTTATATGGCAGCATTGACAAACTTGAAAATATTGTGATACTACTGTTCTTCATTTTTCATATTTTTTACTTGTTCAATTGATATCTTCTTGTTCACGAGTTGGCTAATGAGTTCATTCTCTTCAGTTAAGCATCCAATTAGTGATTGGGTTCATGTAACATAGTTTTAGTTATTTTCTTGCAGAGATCTCAGTTTCAATAGATTGGAAGGAAATATTCCTGATATGGCAGCTCTGTCAAACTTGCAGTGGATGTAAGAAACAACAAAATTTCTTAGTTATTTGTTTAGATAGTCAATATTTCGTCCGTGTAACCACCCGTCTGGAACAGTAACTATATAGTTTAACTAAATGTGACCATGTAATTGTTTTTGGAATAGATATCTCACAAGCAACTTGCTCACTGGGTCTATTCCAGACTGGATCAAGCTCAAAAATACTAGAACGTATGTTCCCTATCATATTATCGGATTGCTTGAGTTTGTTTTCCATTGAATCCGGCAGCAATATATTCTTCAAATTCATTATAATGTTTTACACATAACGGGAACACATGCTTCGGGCGTACTGTTTGCGTATGTGATAAATATCTAGCAAGATTAACAGAAGCATAATTTGTGCCTCTTGAAACATTTGGCTGACCAATGACTAAGATTTTCTGTCATTAAATAATCTTTTTAGCACACAACTTTATACATACTTTAACATTTACTTTTCTATTAGAGGCCGGTAAAATGGCTTACAAAGTTACTGTATGTGTGTGCAGCCAGATAGATCTTTCTTACAATAATTTTTCTCAGACCTCCGAGCCAACTACTTGTAGAGAACAGTTGTGAGAACAGTTTTCTTTTAGTTAACATGCTCAGCACATTTCACTGTTTTCACTCACCTGAGTCACCTCTAATATTCTTTTGGACCTAACTGATGATTTCTCATGTATATATCAGGAACTTGTTCAAAAGCTTTTCTGGACGAGACAACTCGTAACACTTCTAACTCGATTAGTCTTCAACAGTGAAGAGATTTTCTTTTCCTTTTCATTATGTGGACTTCAGATTTACATAAGCTAATTTTACTACACTAATGTAGATTATCTGGAGGGTGCCTCGAAACTTTTTCGTGTCCAAAAGGTAAACTGTAACATCCCACATCGCTCAGGGGAGTGATCCTTAAATGTATATTCCCATCCCTATCTAGCACGAGGCCTTTTGGGAGCTCACTGTCTTCGGGTTCCGTAGGAACTCCGAAGTTAAGCGAGAAGGGGCCAGAGCATTCCCAGGATGGGTGACCCACTGGGAAGTTGCTCGTGAGTTCCTAGAAACAAAATCGTGAGGGCGTGGTCGGGGTCCAAAGCGGACAATATCGTGCTACGGTGGTGGAACGGGCCCGGGAAGTGATCCGCCCCGGGCCGGGATGTGACATAAACAACATATCTTTTAGATTTTAAATATGATAGTATGTTATACTTTATATCAAAGAAATGATGGGAAAGGGTATTTTTCTATAATCTGATTATAACTGATATATATTGATTATTTTTGAAGAGGAGTACTCATTACATATTAACTGTGGAGGAAGTAAAACCACCATTGGAGGAATTATATTTGAAGAGGATCAAGACCTGGGGGGTGATGCAAAATTTGTTCCGGTGATACCTAACTGGGGAATCAGTTCCACTGGATTGTTTTGGGATGTTAACACCACGGCTTATGACTACATAGCAAATAATATGTCCATACTTGAAATGAACAACTCGGAGTTGTACACGAGCGCACGCCTATCGCCTCTTTCTCTCACATATTATGCACGCTGCCTGGGAAATGGAAATTATACCGTGAAACTCCATTTTTCAGAGATAATAATCAGAGGCAATAAATCATTTTACAGTTTTGGAAGACGGATATTTGATGTCTACATTCAGGTAGTTAATCACACCTTATTTTGTGCACTCTATATGCTACTGAAGATGAATTCTCTGATTGATAAAGTTTTTCACAGGAGAAACTAGTGTGGAAGGATTTTGACATAGAAAAGGAAGCACATGGGGTGGACAGGGTAGTCATTAAGGAACTTAAAGCAGTTCATGTTAAGGATAGAACTTTACTGATCCGGTTTCATTGGTCAGGGAAAGGGACAACAACCTCCCCAAAGAGAGGAACATATGGTCCTCTTATATCAGCTATCTCTGTAGACTCTGGTATCTTCTAAAGTTGGAACTTTTAACACACACTCTCTCTCTCTCTCTCTCTCAACCCAAAGCTTTGTTTAAATTAGAGTGGAAAAAGTAATCAAATGTAAAGTTTGTTTACTTTGGATTGATATGCCCTATGTATATATGGCTGTAGATCATAGATAGAAGAAGCCTTTATATATCGCTCGTGACTTTGTTTTTTCATTTCTTTTTTCAAATTATGTAGACTTCAAGCCTCCTCTCAGCAGTAGCAAAAGCAAGATGCCTATTGTGGTTGGAACTGCAGTTGGAGCTTCGGTTGTGTGCCTCATTTTCTTGACTTTAGGCATTCTTTGGTGGAGATGTTGTCCAGATAGCATGACATCAAGGGAAAAAGGTACTACTAAGCTACTGTGAAAGCTTCATGCAGTACCTTGGTCTCAGTCTTTCAAATTCCATGTTGCTAGGGAATACACTCTCAGGATCTAAGTTCAAAAGAAGTATTGTAAGTGCATAAGATATTACCAATATTTGACGTTGTTCTTTGGACAGCTCTAAGAGGGCTGGATCTGCAAACTGGTTTTTTCACCTTCAGGCAAATTAAAGCTGCCACTAATAACTTCGATCCAAAAAACAAAATTGGAGAAGGCGGTTTTGGGTCTGTCTACAAGGTGCCGTACAATTCCAACCCGCGTATTTTCCTCTATTTTTGCATGTCGTCAGTTAACTATTTGGCTTTTACGTAAAATGCAGGGTGTATTGGTGGATGGTACTATAATCGCGGTTAAGCAACTATCATCAAAATCAAAGCAAGGAAACCGGGAGTTTGTGAATGAAATAGGCATGATATCCGCCTTGCATCATCCAAATCTTGTTAGATTGTATGGATGTTGTATTGAATCAAACCAATTATTGTTGGTATATGAATATATGGAAAATAATAGCCTGGCACATACTTTGTTCGGTAAGTTTAATTATCAAGTTTAGTAACAAAACTTCACAGGAATGGTGAATTAAAATGACCTGGAAATTCATGTTTGCTTCAGGCCCAGAGGAAGGTCCTTTAAAGCTGGATTGGCCTACGAGGGAGAAAATATGCATAGGTATAGCGAGAGGTCTGGCTTTTTTGCATGAGGAGTCGGCACTGAAGGTTGTACACCGAGACATTAAAACTACAAATATACTGCTAGACCAAGACCTCAACGCAAAGATCTCCGACTTCGGTTTGGCCAAACTTGACGATGAGGAGAACACCCACATTAGCACCAGAGTTGCTGGAACCATGTAAGCGTGCTGCTACTATATTCTATATTCTTATTTATTGAAATGTCGCCTCAAACTTCTGTTGCGTCTAAGTCCTTAATTGAAACTGAATTTATTGTGCAGAGGATACATGGCTCCGGAATATGCACTATGGGGTTATTTGACATATAAAGCAGATGTTTACAGTTTTGGTGTGGTTGCATTGGAAATTGTTGCTGGAAAGAACAACATGAAATATCAACCAAATGAGAACTTCGTATGCCTTCTGGATTGGGTAAGATCTTCATTCTAAGACCGTGAGTATATGTCAAGGTTGAGGATCTAATCTCGCCTAGTCCTCTTATATCTGCTTATTTCAGGCTCTTGTATTACAACAAAAGGGGAACTTAATAGAGCTAGTGGATCCAAGGTTGGGGTCCGATTTCGATGTGGAAGAGGTGATTACAATGGTTAAGGTAGCTCTCTTATGCATCAATCCAGCACCAGCACTCAGGCCTACAATGTCTGAAGTAGTGAGCATGCTCGAAGGACGAACCCCTGTTTGTGAATCGGTCATGAACCCAAGTATCTACGGCGATGAACTGAGGTTAGCATCCTTGAGAAACCCGTTTGATCCGATTGCACAGCAGAGTACAAGTGAAACTCAGAGCCTTGTTGGTTCATCAGATGCAACATTGATTCATTCTTCTGCAACTACGTCCTCAGATCTCTATAAAATTGGTCCTAGTAGTAGCACATTATCTTAGAAATGTAAACCTGTTATGCTCTCAACTATGCAAATGCTATTGTGTAATAATAAGTAGTACTATCACTTTGCAATATCAAAGCTTCAGCTACCTCCTAAGGGTTTGATATATTCGCGAAGTAGAAGCTTTAAGTGACAAAGCTGAGCAAGTGGAGAAAAAAAAAAGACCGTAATTTTTAAGTGATTCAAAGTCAGTCCTTCAATCTTTACGTATATAATTGTCAAGATCAAGCTGTCAATGTTTCCACTTCACATGGTTTTAATTCTAAGGAATTACAGCAGGGAGGAAAGGTTGAATATTGAAAGTTGGTCATTCTGGCTCAATTATTTATCGGACAAGGATTGTCTGCCCTCCTAGTTGTGGTGCCCTTCCATGCCCTCCTATTTTGTGCGGTCACGGTTAAGCCACGTCAATATTTTATATTAATTTTTAATGAGATAATAAGACAAAAAACAATAAAAATATAAAATATTAACGTTGCTTAACCGTGGCCACATAAAATAAGAGGGCATGGAAGGGTACCACAACTAGGAGGGCAGACAATCCTTGTCCTTATTTATCACGGTCGCTTGTGTAATGTCTCGAATTTGTAACAAGTCAACTAGCTCTTAATTTATAGATATTTCTCTTCTAATGTCAACTTGATTTCAAATTTAATTCCCGGTTGGTAATTGTATGCATAAAAACACACACAATATTCATATTAGATAAACATAAAAAATAAGAGAAATATTAAAGAGACTCTCTCAGTGGGATTCTTCATGAATTCTCTATCACCTATCACCTCATGTTTTTTGTCCAATGTTTTATAATGTTGACACGAGAATTAACGTTAAATTGTGAGATATCTGAGAGTTCATAGAAAATTTTACTTTTAAGAGAATCCCTTTACTATTTCTCATAAAATAATAAAAACACATTACCATAGAGTATATGATAACTGATTATCAATACCATACACAGATCATTACTTTAGAGTGTTTGGAAACTTTCAACAGAGACTTTGTACTGGTTTGGTACTGAGGTGCTTTTATAAAAATTGGGTATAAAAAAACTGAGCTCAAAAAGGTGTTTGGTAAACACTTAAAAATAACTTATTTTCACAGTTTTGGGTAAAAAAAAGCCGCAAATGTGAAGCAGCAAAAATAAGTTTATTTTCATAGCACATCAGAAACAGTTTTTTATTTCAAAGTACAGCAATACCAAACTAGCTGTGCAACTTTACTTCATACTTTTTTTCCTAAGAGAGTACTAGCCAGCAAAGCACGTCTAGCAAGACTGCTAGCAAAGCAGCACCTGATATTCTCATCCCAAACAACAGGAGCATTTTTACACACTACCATAATTATAGCGTATGTTTATCATACATCTGATTATTTACCACATGTTATTTCATTTATTTCAAATTTGAAAAAGTAACATTTAATATGAAAGTTAACTAAGATTAAATAAAAAGATATATAGTAGATGATTAAGTAAACGATAGCATATAGTTATGACACTTTCCATCATCAATTCTAGTTGGGGTCCACTCCTTTAAAAGTAAAAATATAGAAATTGCACATTAAACTAACAAGGAGAGCTCACAAACAGTAAAGGGTTTCTTCTCCATTATGCTATCACTTCAGATCTCTTCCATCAAATCTTGTTAATTAACAAATTCGAATTTTTGAAATTTGATTCAACGGTTAAAGTTATTATAACTTTTAAATAAACTTTATATTTTTAACCGTTGAATCAAATTTTAATAGATCAAATTAGTTGATTGACAAGATTTGGTGGATTAGATCTAGAGAAGATCCCTTTCCCGTCAGACTTCTCTTTTTCATTTTACCCTTTTAAACTTTAATACCCATCAGTTCCTTTTTTTAAAGAAGTTCCTTTTTTAAGACTTCTCTTTTAAAATTTAAAGAAGTTCCCTTTTTTTTTTTTTTTTTTTTTTTTTTTTTAAGTGGGTCTCAATAAGAAATTGATGATGGAATGAGAATGCCAGGTGCCTTCCGACTCTTGCTAGACTTGCTTTGCTAGCAAGTCTTGTTAGCAATTTGCTATTCCAAATTGAGAAATATTAAGGAAATTTTTTCAATAATATAACTCTCAATGGTCTTTCCATTATCTTATATTTTTAACATAATTTTCATGCTATTATTATAAAATTTTATGCTAAAAACATGAGATGTTGAAAGTCTATAGAAAGTCTGATTTTTATAGAGTATCCTGAACATTTATGATATTGAAAACTTTGAACTCTTTTCATATTATTGAAAACGTTGCAGTATATTGGATTTTTTTTTTTGGTCAAAGTTGCGTATTGGAAATTAGATGTGCATATTTAATTCACCAGTTACCATGTGCGCCCAATGAATTAGACATTATCTTAATCTTTAATGAGATAAGGTATTTTGGGATGCACAATAGACCTCTCTAGCTAGTCCATGATTATTTTAAGTCAATATATTAATCAGAAATACTAACTTTATTAGTACGTATACATGTGATGGGAATCGATATTAATGTAAGAGCCGAAATATAATAAAGGAGTAATTAGGTTTTCATCCTTATTTTTACTACTCTATTGATTAAAACCTTATTACTTTTCAATTTTTGATCAAGGTCCTTTGTATTAATAATATCATTAATTATTTCAATAATAAAATATTTTTTATTTCTAAATATATTCATTTAATATTAAAATGTTACAATTAGTATATTTATATTTATGGCTAAATTTTTTATCATATATTTTTATTTTTAGTTTGTACCCATTTTTAATTTGCAACCCTTTTTTAATTTGTACCAATTTTCCTTTCAGTTTTAATTTGTACCCATATATTAATTTCTTTTTGTGCCCATATTTTTTAAAGTTTTATTTGTATTGTACCCATATTTTTTTATTTATTTGTACCCATTTTTATTTTTGCTAAATGTACCCATTTTGAAGAATGTACCCATGTTTTGATACAATAATTTTTTGGTTATTTTTTATGAATATACCCATGTTTACACACACACACACACACAATAGTATATTTATATTTTAATATTTTTAATCCCACAAATTATGGTTTTTTATTTAAAATCTCATTACTATAAACAATTATAAATTTTAATTTTTAATTTAAAAAATATAGTAACGTACATAGAAATAAATTATCAATTAATTTCAGGGACTTGGATCAAAAATTGAAAACCAACAAGGTTTCAGTCAAAGACTGTTCATAACTAGGGACCGCATCCAAAGTCTCCCTATAATAAATATCTCCACATGCATATATAAAACGAACAAGAGAAACTTATACATGTATTTAAATCGTTAAAGTGAACGTATCTCAAACTTATTATATTAGGTGTCAAGCTGCATAGTGCGTAGCCCTCATATGTTTCTTTTCTGTATTTGTTGTTTTTAATCCATTTTTTATATATTTTGTCCTTCTAAACATTTCCATTCGAGATTAATACTCAGTACTCATTTTTTTGGGTCAAATACTCGTAGTACTCATTCAATCATATATAATATATGTATCACCTATCCCAGATTGATACTCTTCTAGTTCCAACTTCCTATATATATTATTTCTAGTTGTTTTATTAGGAAACACTAATTTACTTAGGTATTTCTCCCTTTTGAAATATCTAGATTGATGACTTAATTAACTTACTCATAAGACATCGAGTGATTAGTTTGAGATATCTTTAACGTCGCACTTGTATGTAAGTTCTTTTCGTATAACTGAAACCTCTTGAATATGTAAAATTAAATTTGTTAGCAAATTGTTTGCCTCCCCATGTTGAAGTTGATGGCTTTAATTAGGTTTACTTTTCTTGGCGATGGATCTCACAAATTGTTTGCGTCCCTCGTGTGAACTTGGTGGCTCTCACATCTTATTTCCATATATATGAAACAGACCAGCAGTCATCAGCGACTAGTATGTATTTCTCAGAGCACAGCCTAGCCTGAATAGAGCTGCTGCAGTTCCCACAGAAATTCAACGAAAGACCAACTGAAGTTGACATGTAAATTTGTCCCAAAAGGAAAATAAATTTAGCATAATAAATGATTGGATATCAACAACACCTTCATTTCTTCCTAAGAATCAAACGGGGAGAAGGATTTTTATTTCTTGACAGGAAATGCCATAATTGCGATATAACCGTGTTAAGTGAATTGCTCTCTCAAAACCAGGCCTCAAGGTAATACCAATGTTGAAGAGTAGTAAAAACAGTAAAACACACATTAAATACACATGTCAAATAAAGTGGCTAGTAATCAAATTGTGGTCCATATTCTTAAAATTTTATATACCTAGATCGATCTAAGATTGAAAGCGAAAGATTGTGTGGTCAGCTGCTGATTTTTAATATTTAGTCAAAGAAAATCAAAACACCTCGACAATCATTTAAAGGGTAACTATTAGTAGAGCTCCCTCGCATTCATTAATTACAGAGGTTGTGATAGCTGGATGATGCAGATTTGAGATATAACTGCACAAATCATGCTATGCTGAAGGCGAAGAAAAAGATGGCAGAATTTGATATTGGGATCATATTGGTCATCTGCTTTTGCTGCATATTAACACTCAAAGTTGAAGCTCAATCGCAATCTGTACGTCTTGCTCCCACTGAAGGTAATTTGCCACTCTTCTTCTTTTTCTTGTTCTTTCTCTGAATCTTGTTCAAGTTGGTATATTTTGGTAGGGGTATGATTTCTGCACTCATTTTTCTGCTCATGCACTCCCGTTAGATTGGACAAACAAAAGAAAATCATGGGATAGTAAAAAAAAGGAGTGCAGAAGGAGAAAACGAAAGTTTGGAAATCATTTTTCCTTTTTGTTCTTGTTCAAGTTGGCTTTTTTTTTTTTTTTTTTTTTTTTTTCAAATGTTCAAGTTGGTTATACCAAAAACCTATCATCTGAAACCTCACTTTTTTCTTATATTTTTTATGTTATGAAAGTCTGGATTTTTCACTTTGTCAAGTAATAGAGATTACAGTGCTCAGTCCCAAAGTTGGTCTCTTTTGTTGAGAATTTTAGAAGAAAATTTTAATCTTTCTTAAACATGTTTTCTGTAAAAAATTTATATGAATTCCCTTGGTTTCTTTTTCCTCTGAAAGTACTGGGATTCTTGAATGAAAAACATAAACAAGAGAAAAATAGAATTATTAATTACCTTTGATTTGTGGGTACAGTGGAAGCTCTAAAAGAAATAGCTACACAAATTGGAAAACAAGACTGGAACTTCAGCATAGACCCATGCAGCAATGACACAAATTGGGCTACCCCAAAATCTGATAACTTGCCTCTCTACAATAACACTGTCATCTGCAACTGCTCCTACCCTGATGGTTATTGCCACGTTGTCAGCATGTATGTCAACTCAGAACCTTATTTGTGTATATTCTTTGTTCGTTTTTTTTATCAATTTAATTATCTTCTGTAGCGTTTACTTTTTAGGATAGTTCAGTATAATAATGCAGGCATATGTTAGGTACTCAAGCCAAGGGAAGAGCCCAACCCAAAAGACTAGTCCAATAGGTGGGAGGACCCCAAGGACTTAAGAACCCCTACACCCCCATAAGTGTAGTTGATGTGGGATCATAACATTACACCACCCTTCGGAAGCCGACGCCCACGGCGGCCCTTACTCTGGTGGCTTTCACTCTTAACGGCGGTGCACCCTTAGGTCATCCCGTTAAGGTAGCCCTTTCCAGGTCGCCCCCTCCGCAGCGTCGGGAACCTAGGCTCTGATACCAATGTTAGGTACTCAAGCCCAAGGGAAGAGCCCAACCCAAAAGACTAGTCCAATAGGTGGGAGGACCCCAAGGACTTAAGAACCCCTACACCCCCATAAGTGTAGTTGATGTGGGATCATAACAGCATAAAATTTGATTTTGTTTTGTAACATTATGTACGCCGGCCTGTAGTTTTCTAATCTTTTTTTTTTCGTTGACGGATTCTAAGACTGCATTTTCAGTTGCTAAACATAATTTCCCTTTGACATTTTCGTGATACAGTTTTCTCAAAGGACAAGATCTTGCGGGTGTAGTTCCACCATCTGTTGCAAAATTACCCTATCTAAAAATTGTGTAAGGAAACATTTTCAGCTGTATATTCGCTGAAAAAGGTGTTTTACATCATTTCCTCAAATATTGGTATTGTTACTAATATCTTCTCTCTTGTGTACAGTGATTTCACCCGGAACTACCTCAGTGGTACTATACCGAGTGAATGGGCTTCTACAAAGTTGGAATATGTGTAAATGATTTCTCAACTTTATGTTCAAGGTTAGTGGTTTATAGCTTATACTAATAGAGCTAATAAAATGAGTACAATGCAGATCCATTACCGTGAACAACTTAACGGGACCAATCCCTGGCTACTTGGGAAACATTACCACCCTAATATACATGTATGCTCTGGCTTGATCTCTCGTTATGACCGTATGTTATTTGTAAACATCAATTTTAAGTTTGCGCTCAGTTTAGAGTATTGTAATGGCTGATGAAGGAGAATATGTTTTCAGGAGCTTAGAGAATAACCAGTTTTCTGGAACTGTTCCTCCTGAGCTTGGGAAATTGGTTAACTTGAATAATCTGTAAGCACATTCTTCTTTCTTTCACCCTCAGTTTGCTCTTACTTAATTTTTAAATTTTATGTAACTTGAATAAGCAAGTACCAGTTGATAAATTAGCATTGGTATCTGCAGCATTCTGAATGCAAACAATCTCACAGGAGAGCTGCCGGTGGCTCTAACTAATCTGACTAAGTTAACAGAACTGTAAGCGTTTGTACCCTTACCATTTTTTTCTTATAACCTTTTTCTGTTAAGAAATATTCCGATTTATTCTATTCAATGATTCTGTTTATGCAGTAGGATTAGCATGAATAACTTCACTGGAAGAATACCAAATTTTATTCAAAGCTGGAAGCAACTTAAGAAACTGTGAGCAATATTTTCCTATTTGATATTCTAAATTGTTCGAATATATATTTTCTGGTGTAACATCCTTCTGTTTTGACTTGTGTTGTTGACAGAGAGATCCAAGCTAGTGGTCTCCAAGGGCCCATTCCTTCTAGCATTTCTGGCTTGAGTAATTTAGCAGAGCTGTGAGTCCTGCATTCGATCCTAAGTTGCATTAATGCTTAAAAGCTTAATCTTGCTTTACAAGTTTATCATAACTCCCTATCGAACATACATCTTTTTAAAGCAGAAGGATCAGCGATATCGATGGAGGGGGTTCAGAATTTCCGCCCTTGAGTAGTATGACAAACATGAATAGTTTGTAAGTCTTGAAAGTGTTGTAATTATAATTTTATGTTGCTTATACTTTTAGACTAACCCACACTTAACTTGTGCTAATAAATAGTCGTGTTGCAGAATGTTGAGGAGCTGCAACTTATCCGGAAGTATCCCTGATTATATATCAGCCATGACAACACTGAAAATATTGTAATACTACCATTCTTCATTTATAATTTCGATTTTTCTTGCTCAAGTGTACACCAAAATTAATTGATAATTTTCTTGCTCATTTATGAGTTCATTTTGTTCAGTTAAGCATCCAAATAATTAACATATGATTCGTAAAACATAATTTTAGTTATTTTCTTGTAGAGATCTGAGCTTCAACAGGCTGGAGGGGAACATTCCTGATAATATTGGAACTCTGACAAACCTGCAGTACTTGTAAGAAACGTAAACTTCGTCCAAGGCGTGAGCATACATCATTATTCATAGAGGACTCCCCTGAATTTTTTTTATAATTACCTATATCAAATGACATCTCTAATGGAAGCAGAGATTTTGATGTAGAATGACACAAATTTCTTAGTTATCTGTGTGTATGTTGTCAATGCTTTCGTCCATGCAACCGGCCTTTTGAAACAGTAATGATATACTTTAAGTTAGTATGACTATGCAATTTCTTTCTGAATAGGTATCTCACAAGTAACTTGCTCCACGGGTCTATTCCGGACTGGATCAAGAGCAGAGATAGTCATTAGTATGTTTTCCATCCTTTTGTTTAGGATTTTCTGTCGTTAATTCATCCTTTAAGCGTCTAACAATTTTATGATACGTTAAAACTTATTTTTCTAGTAGAGTTATAAGCGCTTTCTTATTTTATTGTACTTGTGTGCAGCCAGATAGATGTTTCTTACAATAATTTTTCTGTGAATTCTGAGCCTGCTTCGTGTAGAGAGACCCTGTAAGAGGACAATTTTCTTTTTAGTTGATATACTCAATACAGTTCGTGCTCTTCACTCACCTCTAATTTTCGTTTGAACCAAATTGATTTCGCATGTATCAGGAACTTGTTCAAAAGCTTTACAGCACAAGACAACTCGTAAGCTTTTAACTTATTTAGTCTTCAATGATGAATAAATTTCCTTTCCTTTTCGTTCTGTGAAACCTAATTGTTTTACATAAATTGATTTTCACTACATTCCAGATTATTTGGAGAGTGTCTGAATAGCTATCCATGTCCTAAAGGTAACAATATATCTCTTAGATTCAAAATATGATTACAAGATATGAACTTTCGTTACCCGAATATTTTATTTTCATTTATCTATTCAGATATTTGCTTTAGTATCGAATTCATATGATCTTGATTCTCGGTTGTTAATGGATAGATCGATATTCATTACACATAAATTGTGGTGGAACGGCAACCACTGTTGGAGGAGTTGACTTTGAAGCGGATACAGACTTGGGAGGTCCAGCAAAGTTCGTTCCAGTGAGACCTATGTGGGGAATCAGTACCACCGGACATTTCTGGGATGCTAACCCCACCTCTAATGACTACATTGCAAATAACATATCGATACTTGGAATGGACAACTCTGAGTTGTACACAAATGCACGCCTATCGCCTCTTTCTCTCACTTATTATGCACGCTGCCTCGGAAATGGAAATTATACTGTGAGACTTCACTTTTCGGAGATAATAATCAGAGACAACAGATCTTTCTATAGTCTTGGAAGACGGATATTTGATGTGTATATTCAGGTAGTTAATCACGCCTTATTTTCTGCACTCTATATGCTCTGAATTTGAGTTTGCTGATCGATCAAGTTTATTACAGGAGAAACTAGTATGGAAGGATTTTGACATCGAAGAGGAAGCACAAGGGGTTGATAGGGTAGTCATTAAGGAACTTAAAGCAGTTCAGGTTAAGGATAAAACTTTATTGATCCGGCTTAAGTGGTCTGGGAAAGGGACAACAGCTTCCCCAAAGAGAGGAACTTATGGTCCTCTTATATCAGCTATCTCCATGGACTCTGGTATCTTCTAAATTGCAAACTTTAGCTCTCTCTTATACGTGCACAGAAACATGCTATAGTTTGTTTGCTTAATCACATGCTGATACCAATTTATCCTTTCCTTATCAATTTTTCCAGGCTTCTAGCTAATTTTGGTCTTTTAATATAGATCCTAAAAGATATTGTTCCTGATTTGATAATACTCTCTGTAATCTGTATATATAGCTGTATATCATAGACGAAAGCTTATATCGTTCATGACTTGTTTTTCATTTACTTTTAAATTTTGTAGAATTCAAGCCTCCTCAAGAAAGCAAAAACAAAGTAAGTATTATTGTTGGAGCATCAGTTGGAGGTTCAGTTTTGGGCCTCATTTTCTTGGTTTTAGGCATTCTTTGGTGGAATGACTGTTTCGATAGCAGGACGTCAAGGGAAAAAGGTACTACTAGCTCCTGTAAAAGTTTTGAGTAGTACATTGGTCTCATTCTTTCAGAAGAACTATTGTAAATCCGCAAGATATTACCGATATCCTAACCTTCGTTCTTTGCACAGCTTTGAGAGGACTGGATCTGCAAACTGGTTTTTTCACCTTTAGACAAATCAAAGCTGCCACTAACAACTTCAATCCTAAAAACAAAATTGGGGAAGGCGGTTTTGGGTCTGTCTACAAGGTACTGTACAATTCCATCCCATATACAGTTCCACTTTTTATAGAAGTCTTCAGTTAATTATTTTTGTTACTTGCCTAGATTATGTTAATTTTTAATGCAGGGTACATTGTTGGATGGAACTATAATCGCGGTTAAGCAACTATCTTCAAAATCAAAGCAAGGAAATCGTGAGTTTGTCAATGAAATAGGCATGATATCTGGTTTACATCATCCAAATCTTGTCAGATTGTATGGATGTTGTATCGAATCAAATCAGTTACTGTTAGTGTATGAATACATGGAAAACAATAGCCTTGCACATACGTTGTTCGGTAAGCTTATTGAATATATCAATAGAACAAACGAATGGTGTATCAAGAAGTACTAAAATGACCTGGGAATCCATGTTTGTTGCAGGTCCAGAGGATGGTCCATTAAATATGGATTGGCCTACAAGGCAGAAAATATGCATAGGCATAGCAAGAGGTTTGTCCTTTTTGCATGAGGAATCAACGCTAAAGATTGTGCATAGAGACATCAAAGCGACAAATATCTTACTAGACCGAGACCTTAACCCTAAGATCTCCGACTTTGGTTTGGCCAAGCTCGATGAAGAGGAGAACACCCACATTAGCACTAGAGTGGCCGGAACTGTGTAAGCTTTTGTGTCCATGGATTTTTTCTTTCATAACTTAGCTTCATTTCAGATCTAAATTTATTTTTTCTCACTTTTACTCCAAACTTATTTTGCCCCAAAATGTTGAACATCGTGATTCTGTCGAAAACTTGAACGTGAAGTAATGATCCATGAACAAATTTTATCTTTACGGTTTTCTATTGGGTATGTTTGAGATGAAATGCCTTGTACTAGAGGAACCATCAGTATGAGAAAAACAACATTTGTTATGCAGAGGATACATGGCGCCGGAATATGCACTATGGGGTTACTTAACCGACAAAGCAGATGTGTACAGCTTCGGCGTTGTTGCGTTGGAGATTGTTGCTGGAAAGAACAACGTGAAGTATAGACCAAATCAGAATTTTGTATGCCTTGTGGATTGGGTAAGATGGATCTTCATTTTTTATTTTATTTTTCATGAAAACTGAAACAAATCAAAGAGATGTTTAGTGAGCTACACCGTAAGATCGATCTTCATTTGAATTGCTTCTGTATATACTATTAGAACGCTTTTAGATAAGTGGACAGGCACATTACCTTGCTCAGCTAGCTAAACCTGCATCTGTTTCTTTCAGGCCCTTGTCTTGCAACAAAAAGGAAATTTAATGGACCTGGTGGACCCTAGGTTGGGGTCCCAATTCAGCAAGGAAGAGGCGATTCGAATGGTGAAGGTGGCGCTGCTATGCACCAATCCGGCGCCCGCTTTGAGGCCTACAATGTCTGCAGTTGTGAGAATGCTTGAAGGGGAGACTGCTGTGCATGAATTGATCATGGATCCGAGTATATACGGCGACGAAATGAGGCTAACGGCCGTGAGAAACCAGTTTGATCAGATTGCACAAGAGAGCTCAAGTGGAACTCAGAGCCGCCTTCGTTCTTCTGATTCAACATGGATTGGTTCTTCTGCTACCGCTATGTCTTCTGATCTCTACAAAGTTAGTTCCGGTTCTTATTAAATGAGGCCAACTCTTGCTTTTGTGTATACGGAAGATTCATACAAGAAATATAGGAAGATATGAACATCTAAATTTGGTTACGGATTTTAATTAAACAGACAATTAAAGTGCACTAAATTGTGGTTTAATATTTGTAAATAGTTCTTTTATGCGTATTTGTCGAAAGATCTCTTGCTAAATGCTCTAACTTCGTTTAACAGAAAATAAATATTTTCAAGCCGTCAAGCCGTTTTTACATAGAAACATATGTTAAATGACTTTTCTAAATGCACTTTCAAGTAATTTTTCACAAAGTACATATATTTTCAGTAAAAATATTAGTGTATTTATAAGTTTATACACATAAGCGCTTGTTAACAAAAGCGCTTCTTAGGTCATCTCCAACCGAAGTAGGACCAGATGGCCATATTTCTTACCATCTTCAACCGAGGGCCAAGGAACCATAATATTTTAATGAACAGTGCATGACCATATTTTTTACCATCTCCAATCAAGGGCCAAACATAATTTATTATTTAAATTTAAAAACTACAACAACTTATATTAAAAAACTACAACTTATATTTAAAAACTACAAATTAAATTTAAAACTACAACAACTTAAATTTATAGGAAAAAAATGAGAATTGTTTATTTTTTAAATTTTGGCAAAAAAAATTCAAATCCAACGACTAGCTGACATCACCATCAGCATGACGTCTATTAGCCGTTGGATTTGAAATTTTTTGGTCTATAAATAAGGTGGATATTGGGCTATAATTCACACACCTTTGAATTCAATATCTTCAATTCAAGTTTGCAATGAATTCCAACTTTGGATCCTCTTTGGATTCCAACTGGGGGTCCTCATCCAATTCCGAATTGGAAGAAAAATGGGGGCAGATGAGACGAGAAGATGAGGAGTCTAATGAAGAAGATGAAGCATGACGCAACACACAATATGTGGCAGCCATGGCTGCGGCCAAGGTGTGTCAGCTAACTGAGGAACAACCTCAATGGGGGTGGCTTTGTTGCTGGTCGCTCTTACAAAGCACAAACCAGAGCGATGACACATTCCAATCTGATGAACAACTATTTCAACCCCAACTCGGTGTACACAGTAGAGGATTTCAGACGTCGCTTCCGGATGAGGTGTCGTATCTTTGAGCATTTACTTCATGATGTCCAGCAGGTTAATCCATACTTTCAATAGAAGTTGGACAGAGTAGGCCGCCCTGGTTTCTTACCTCATCGGAAGGTTACTGTTGCACTACAAATGATGGCCTATGGCTTCCCAGCTGATTCGATTAATGAAACCCATGGTGTCACACCCTGATCCCGACATATGTCTAGGATCAACTCATGACGTCACCAAGTATTCGTATCTAGCATACTCCGCCTCCAAAATACGTACCAAGCACGCTTAAGCTTCAAATGGAGAAGTGATTTTTTCGTATACTTCATGGTTGCATCTAACCTCCTCGTTAGATTGCCTACGTACCCTCAATAGGGATCAAGCCATTCGTGTTACGAGTTATATATTAGTTAAAGTGTAAATAGTAGTTTATTATCCCACATTGGTGAAGTACATATGTAATACCAATTATAACTCCTATATATACTCCACTTTAGTGTATGTGAGTTGTTGTGGTTGAAAAAATTGTTGAGAGATCTTGGGTTTAAACCCAAATGTGCTATGAAACTTCATTGTGATAACAAGGCTGCTATTGAGATTGCTCATAATCCAGTGCAACATGATCGAACAAAACATGTGGACATTGATCTACATTTTTATTAAAGAAAAATTGGATGCTGGAATTATTATGTTTCCGTTTGTGGGATCTGAAGATTAACTTGTTGCTCTTACTAAGGCTGTGTCTAATAGTGTGTTTTCCAACTCGCTTGACAAGTTGGGCATGCGTGACATCTTTGCACCAACTTGAGGGGGAGTGTTGCAAGTTATATATTAGTTAAAGTGTAAATAGTAGTTTATTGTCCCACATTGGTGAAGTACATATGTAATACCAATTGTAACTCCTATATATACTCCACTTTTGAGATTAATGAATATATAAGAAATTCCCAAATATTGTCATATATATATTTTTGGTATTTACCATGTGTTGATGCACAAAATCAGCGAGGACTTTGGTACAACAGAAAGTGTCAGGTTTTATGACCTTCGCTTGGTTGCTTCGGTCACTAGTGAGGATAAGTACGTAAATGAATAGAGACAGAGAAGCAAACACATGATGTACGTGGTTCACCCAGATTGGCTACGTCCACGGAGTAGAGGAGTTCTTATTAGTAGTGAAGGGCTTACACAAGTACAAAGGATCAAGCTCTTAATTTAGTGAGTTCTTGTGAATGATTTAACACAAATGGCATTTGGCAATATTGTGGGGGGATGACCCCTATTTATAGAAAAACTTGTAGCTTTGTCACATTGACATGTGTCATGTTATGATTGGTTCTTGATGTTGACACGTGCTGCGTTCTGATTGGCTTCTAATCTTGACACGTGTCGAGTAGTGATTGGCCTCCTGGTCGGAGGGGAACTCTTCTGGGTCCTTGACAGTATAGCGTTGGCCGGTGCTCGGTAGTTTCGAGATTGGTCAAGTATGGTACAAACAGTGCTCCCCTAAGTTCCCGAGTGAGGGAAACTCCTCGGTTGGGGACTTGCAAGATCCAATCCCTTGAGTAATCACGAAACTTCTAAGTACCGAAGTGTGGTCTGATCTTCATCTGCCCTTCTCTGGAAGTACCTTTCCTCCATCCGGGAATGGTGTATTTAGCTGATGTTGACGCACAAGGTAATGTATCAATTTCACTTGAAGCTTAGTTGTAGTTTCGGGCTTAGTCAAGTGTGATACAAACCCTATAGTAGGAGTCCCCCAAGTCGCCGAGCTAGGAGATCTGCCGAAAGAGGTGACAGACAAGGTAAGCAGTCAAACTTCCAAGTAAGCAACCCAGGATCAGAGGTTTGACTTCGGCTTCCGGTTGATTGTTCTCCTTCTCCTTGTCTCTCATTCAACTGCCAGGATAAGGAGAAGCAAATGGATAAGAGATGATATGAGATACTTTTGCTTTTGAAGAAGTAACTTTCCACAGGCTTATTCTTGAACTGTGCTGGAGGGTTTTCTGGTGCCCTTCAGAGTATAAGGCCGACTCAAAAATTTGAGGGTCAAAAACAAGTCCATCAAATCTAGAGTATGTTCGACCTTGATGATATGGGATACTTTTGCTGTTGACGGAATAATGAATGTGGTATGGAAAGGTGTCGTGCTGTAGTGATCTGTTTCAGCTCACCGTTGAACCTTCTGCTTCAATCTTTTGCATGGCAGAAGTGGTGTGCAACCTTTGCATTTAAATGGTCCTTCAGAACATTCCTTCATAGTGACTCATCCACGCTTGGCAGCTTCAGTGTAAAGAGCCAATATCTGATCAACTGTCATGAGGTATTTTGCCGGTGGAATTCGTGACCTTGACAGCAGTTGAGGATGAGTACTCGAGAGCAATGCTAAGTAAGCAACCAGGCAAAGGCTCCAGGCAGTCAGTTCCAAATTGGAGGTTTGATTTCAGGTTCCGACTGACTGCTCTCTTTCTCCTTGTCCTGCAGGTGTGGACAAGGACAAAGACAAAGACAGGGAGAAAGCATGATATGGGATACTCTTGCTTCGACCCTGATGATATGAGATACTCTTGTTCTTGGTGTGGCTTATTTGCTGAGGTATTATCGGGGGGAAATAAAGCTGAGTATTTCGAGAGGTTATGTTGAGGGTGCCTTTTCGAATGCGAGAAAGGGTTGAGCATTTTTGCAGGTTTTTCCTGTCCGTTGAGGAGGGAGGTCAATGTATATAGGGATTTCCCAATAACAAGTAGTAATGCTATTCCTTTACCCTTCTTGGTCACAGCAATGTAGTGGGAGCTGCCAGCTTCACGTGTTTTAATTTTGTCAGAGCACTTTGAAAAAGTGGTATGTGGTATCTGGAAAGCTGATGTTACGTGTGAAGATTACAGACAAGCTTTATCTAAGGAAATCTGGCTCTCGAAGTTCTGAGAGTTGTGCCTCTTCGGTTTTCGAACAAGCAATCCCGTCGAGGATCTGACTCTCGAGATTCGGAAAGCGGTGCTACTCCGGTTTTTTGAGAAAGTAATTATGTTGGGAGTCTTTTCTCGAATGTGAGTAAAGGTTGGACGTTCTTGCCAACCTGTCTTGCCGCAAAACACGGAGGTCGACACACATAGGGACTTTCCAGTTGTCAAGCAGTGGTGCTGTTCCTTTACCCTTATGGGTAATAGTAGGGTAGCTGGAACTTCGAAATTCTCGTGCCTAAACTTTGTCAGAGATCTTTGACAAAGTTATATGTGGTACCCGAGGAGTTGATGGTGCATATGGAGAGCGGTGATTGAACAGTAAGATTCACGTGCTTTCTACTTCACCAGAAATCTTCGACAGATTGCCCGTAATTTCCGCAAAGCTGATTGTGCATGTGACAGGTGCTGACGAGGCTGAAAAAGCAGGTGCTTCTTCGATTTCTGAGATCGGCCCTCGTGGTCTCTGAGCAGCCCAGCTTTTGAGAAAGCAAACGCCTCTTCGATTTCTGAAGCTCCGTCGAGTGCAGATTTTTATAGAGGCTGGCATTAAGTTCCACAGCACACTTGAATCTCTACCAGTAGAAGCTCATTTCTTGCACTTCTAAGATCTTGATTTGTCTGACCTCTTCCTTCTTCAACACATTTGAAAATGTCTGGACCCTCCGACCGTCGTTTTGACTTGAACCTTGGAGAAGAGACAGCCACGCCTTCTCCAGACAACATATGGCGCCCATCCTTCATATCCCCTACTGGTCCTCTTACCGTTGGGGATTCTGTGATGAAGAATGATATGACCGCTGCAGTGGTGGCCAGGAACCTTCTCACTCCCAAAGATAACAGACTACTTTCCAAACGGTCTGATGAGTTGGCTGTTAAGGACTCTCTGGCTCTTAGTGTTCAGTGTGCAGGTTCTGTGTCTAATATGGCCCAACGCCTATTTGCTAGAACCCGCCAAGTTGAATCATTGGCTGCTGAAGTGATGAGTCTCAAACAGGAGATTAGAGGGCTCAAGCATGAGAATAAGCAGTTGCACCGGCTCGCCCATGACTATGCTACAAACATGAAGAGGAAGCTTGAC